CAGTTTGATTCCTCCGCCTCTCTCGGACAGCCCCGCAAGCTACCGAGAGTATCTCACCCGCACAGCAAAGCCTGGCTAGCTACCCGTGGCGTATTCGATATGCCAAACACAGTAAAAATAAAGTCTCACAATGGAGACGTTACTGGGCCCGCTCTAGCAAATCGATGAACAACGGGAGCACCGTGACAGTGACTGTAATTTTACTATTTTGTACCCTTAGCTCGGATGCTCCCATCCTTATCTGGTCTGAAACCCCCTTTTCAGAAAATAAACAACAGTAAAAACAAAATTAGTCTGCCTCCTGGAAATCACCTTCTTCAAGGAAACAGAAAGTGCCCCCAATTGCATGAGAACACTACCACCAGCTCTCCTGGATGCCAGTGCACTCCCTGGGGATAGTTATCACCCACTACAGGAAACATTGCTTTGTTATCTCAAGTGTCTCTATTATAAACATCAGATACTGTGTTTACTGTAAGACAACAAAAATTATGCATAACTTAGAGAAGTATTTTGAAGAGAAAGCATTCCAAAAAGGACTAAGTTTAAGACCCGCCCAACTATAATTTTCAACCTAAATGCAATTTGAAAGCAAATTACAGAAATTATTAAGCAAATTATTTACAAAAAGCAACTGGGCATTTCCTGAATTTTTTTTAAATTTTTGGGCCACACCCAGCAGTGCTCAGGAATCAATCCTGGCAGGAACCATGTGGGGTTCCAGGGATCAAACCGGTGCCAGCTGCAAGCAAAGCAAGCACCCTACCCGCTGTACTATTGCTCTGGTCCAACTCCTGACTTTCTTAATTACCTTCTGAAGTATATCTGTTAAGTTAAATATACATTGTGTAAATAAACTACACAATGATTTCTCCATGACCCAGAAAGGCAGTCCTGACAGAAAAACGTAAAACTTGGAGAACTGTTTTTTTTTTTTTTTGAGGTGAAATGGTACTGATACTTCATAAATTGTCATTCAGGTAGAAAGTAAAATGGAAAGGGGTAAAATAAGGAGATGGGGATAGAAAGATCAGAGAAGGAAAGAAGGGGAAGAGGTGGGGGACATTTTCAAAACCACCATTCTACTAATGAAGAATCAGGAAACTGGCCAAACTCCTCAAGCCCACTTGGGAGCAGAGGCAGCATTCCTGAGGGAATCCTTACTGCTGATATTGTCATGGGAAATTCTCAAATATTCTCACTTTCTAGGAACAGAACCTATCCTTCTGATTCCAATGAATTCACTCTCTTCAGTGATCTTTTTTCTTTTCTTTTTTTTTTGAGGCCACACTAGGGGTTCCTCCTGGCTCTCCCACTCATGAATTATTCCTTGTGGTGCTCAGGGAACCATGGGATGCCGGGAATCGAACCCAGGTTGGCTTGTGGAAGGCAAATGCCCTTATCCACTGTATTACCACTCTAGCCCATTGATTTTTCTTATGCTATTCTTCAGCTATTCTCTCAAAAATTTTCTGCTATTTCCACTATACCACAGAAAGGTGAGAAGTACATGTCATTTTTATGAAACACTTACCCATTCAAGCACAGGGGTTATTTAAGGCACTTACCCTGCATGCAGTCAACCAATCCCTGTTTGATCCCCACATATGTAGGTCCCCCAGCACCATCAGGAGGCATATTTGGGTGTCATCAACCCATTCCCCTCAGAAACAAAAATAAAATCCTTATCTAGAGTCCTGGGATGATAGTTCAATGCTCAAGTATCTGCTTTACAAGTATGAAGCTGAGTTCAACCCCCCTGTATCAGTCACATTGCAGAATGTGATTCTGGTGGTACTGCATTTAGTATCCCTGCACCACAAATGTACACTTCTCTACTGCACCACAATGAAGTGTGTGCAAGAACACCAACCAAATGTACAAACCCTGGCAAGCGCCACAACCAGGTGTGAAAGCAAAGCAACAAAGTGTGTGAATCACCAAAATGGAATAAGGAGCTTAAAAAATTCCTAACTTCAATGAAGAATTGAAAGATTAAGTTCATTGAGATCTGGTGTGGTTTATAATCTACATATGAAGTTAAAACAAACATAGCCAAAATAAAATACGTGTTAAACAGTATGACTAAAATATATACTACATGATTTCACAGGTGAAGAAACTGAGAATATTTCACCCTAAAATATAACACTAATTATTTTGAGATAAGGCATCTGAGAACAAAACACTCTCACCCTCTCCCCTCCCCCTCAGTCCTGAAAGGAGATAAATTTGCACAATCATTAATTTAATCTTTATCCTCCCTCTTCACAATTTACTGCCATCTAGTATGAAGACAGTAAGTTTTTCAAAAAAATTTTGTGTTTGTCTAAAGCAGAGCTTACAATGGGGGGAAGGGTGGGGCAATAGCCTCAGGTGGCAATTTCTCTTTACTTAAAGAAGGCAGATTTCCAGCAGGTGTACTGAATGCTATTTTATTTTGTTGCCTCTTTTTTTCTCCCCTGAAACAGGGGTAGCAGTCAAATAAGTCTGGGAAACTTCTGGAAAAATATAAAAGTTCTTTGTTCCAGTTACTCATTAGGCCTTCATACTCCTATAACAGTTCTCACACCACGTAAAATTGTCATAAAATGTATGATTTTCTCCTGCTAATGTTTGATGTCAATTTTTCTTAGACCCAGGAAAATTAAAAGAAAAACTTTTCCTCTTCAGCAGAGGTGAAGTAAAAATTAGAGAAATAAAAATTAGAGAAAAAACTATAGAATATTTAGACTTAGGGAAGAAGGGAAATTAAGGTCAGATAGATAAGGAAATAAAGCAGCGGTTTCCAACCACTGGTCCACAGACTAGTATGAGTTCGCAGATGTACAAAGGTTGAAAAGCACTGGTTTATCATTTTGGTGAGTTCTGGAGGTGTGAAAAGGATGAACACCACTAATAGAAAGGATGATAGAGAAGGACAGTAAATGATAGTGAAGAAACCAATCTGGTCAGAGTATAGTTCTTCTATAAAGAATAGGAGCTTGAATAAAGCTAAGTACAAGTCAATCAGCCTAATCAGTAGCTGAATAAATAGCAGTACTCCTACATAAAAAAAAAAAAAGAAGCTAAGTACAAGTATATTTTGAAGAAATCAAAGTAGTTCTGGAAAATTATTTACAGACATATACAAGCATCCCCCTAAAAGTAAAGCGAGAACAGACAACTTGAGAATATTACTTACTAAACCTAATATTTTATGTATGCCAAAGTTAAAACAAAATTGATTTACTTCAGGTCAGTGTTCTCAGCATTTTGTCAACTGTTTTGTTTTCTTTGTCACTTCTGTGTTCTTCACTTCTCACTTCCCTCTGTGGTACCAGTCTTGTGGGCTGGCCCATTCAGTGAATTTTCACCTATGGTCCCTTGGAATAACCTGAGGACCCACAGAGGCCAAATGGCCCCATGTAGAGAAACACTAAGAAACAGTACCTCAAAAACATGCATACACCAAAAAGAAAAAGAAATCGGACAATTAACAACTCTTCCTATTAAGATTTCATTCTTCAAAACTTCTTAAATTAAGAATTTCCCATGACAAAATGCTGACTCCTGACTACTAAGGATTTTATCACACGAGTCATTCTTGATTTTTCCTTTTTGCTTGTTTTGCCCAACTCTTGAATATTTCATTACCCAAGGTCAGCATATAAAAAAAGAAAAGGAGAAAAGGATTCTAAAGCGAAGCCTGTGAATATTTTCAATACAGTAACGGCATTACTAATAATTTTATTCAAAGTCATTCAGGTTCAGTGACTCTAGTGTTCTTAACTACTTCCCTACTTAAAAGGTTTCTGCACTCAAAATATAAAAAGCATTTGGAGTTATGTGCATGAAAAAACATCATTAGCAGTATTGTAAATCACAGTATCTCAATTTTTTGAAAAGAAAAAGTATTCTGCGACTTCTTGCCTTAAAACTGTATCTTTAGGAGTTCAATGAGAAGCAAAGAGAAAGGCTAAATGACTATTTTAAAACTACCGTAAGCAATTAGAGTTTCGTTTCTCAATGTTCTATGTAATCCAAACTCTTGTTTTATACCTTGAGAAACGTTATGAAACAGCACACACATTTCATCTGGTTAGAAAATACTCAAATGCAAGGGACCACCTGAAATACCCTATCGTAAATCACCAAAGGGCAACTCAAACCCATTCATAACTCTGGGGAGTTGTATGAGACACTGAATTTGAAAGTACTATGATCATTCTTAAGAACATGGGTTTGAAATCAAAAGCTAATGCCGAAGGTGCTAGGTGTAAACCACCAACAGGTTAAATCCTGGCATTCAAAGAATTCTGAATCCAAATAATTGCAGGATACATTTAATGCTATTCTAGTAGAGTTTTCAGGCTTGTTTACAGACATGTTGCCTGGTAACGGAAGCACTGCCTCAACAACCTGCTTAGTTTTAGATTTACTACGTGCTCGCAGTCCCAACACATTAGGAACTACACCATACTGTAAGGCGGTGAGAACCAACATCTGGCCTTCCTAAGATGTCATCCTGACATGTCACAGACCCGGCTTCAATCTTGAGTACATAGAACGTGAGCCAAAGTGCTCCTTTAAGGTTTAAGGTTGGCCAGGAGCGGATTTCTCCAGCTTCGTTTAAATCAGGAGTTCATTTACATATTCCACGCTCGACCTCAGGAATGATTCCCCCAACACGCTGTCAAAACTCTCTTGAAAGTCAAAGAGGATGAACACGACAGCACTGCATGTCTCTGAGACGCCGGGGACCCACTCGCTTGGCAACGGGTCATCTCCAGCTACCGCGCTGCAGAGCTTCAAAAGCAGCTGTCTCGGCTCAACGTGTATTTCGCCCGCTACACAACTAGTTCCCACAGACCTCTAGACTAACTCCCGCAGCGGTGACTTGACAGATAACAAGGGGTCAGGGCGGTGGGGGGAGGGATGCAAAAAAACCAAGAAATGAATATTTCAAAATACGGACAGGAGAGAGGCTTTCCCCACCACCACCCAGAGAACTTACATACCAGACTCACACACGTGCGCGCGTAAAACTAAAGTGACCGGTGTTCTGGCCGCACTCGCCACCAAGGGAAACCTCCTCGGCTCCAACCACAACGGCCACTCAGCTCTTCTCGCGGAGGGCATTGGGGTTAAGGGACACAGCCCTCCCCACCCCCCACGCGGGGTGTGGGTCCAGCCCGCCACTCCCGGCGAGGTCCGGGCGGCCGCTCGCGGCGCAGGCTGAGGAGAAGGAGCAGCGGGAGGCGGAGGAGGGCCTAGAGCGCGCCCCTCAGACTCCCCACCTCAGGGCAAACGTGAGGTGTTCCGGGAGACGTTCGAGGGCGGCGGAGGAGCAAAATGCCCCGCTCCTCCTCGGAGCACCCGCTGCCTCCTCCCGGGTGCGGGTGCGGGGACGCCGACCACCCGGACGGACCCACGCCGGCGCCGGCCTCGGCCAGCGGCCACAGCCCCTCCCGCCGGCGGCGTTGACTGGGTTCTGAGCCCTCAGAGCGCGCCGAGCAGGAAGTCCCGCCCCCACGCCACGTCACCGTCGCCGCGGACGCGGGCTGGGGCTGTTAGACGGAGGGGGCGGGCCCGGCTGAGGCGGGAGCTGCTGGCGTCTAGGGCGGGAGAGCCGGGGCAGAGAGTCGCTCTGAGAGAGAGAGCGCCATGGGGATACGGAGAAACCGCGCGTTAACCAAGGAGAAGTAACTCTCTGAGACCGGAGTTGGCTTCACGGAGCTTCCAGGACGCGCAGCCCGCTCCTCGTACTCCCCCACCCGCTCCGCTACGTCGGCGGCCCTGGATCTTTGCCGCCCGTTCCGCGCCCAAACTTCCTCTCTGTGAAGGATCTTGTCCCCGCCGCGCTTGGTCTTGTCACCACCGCTGGCATCAAGCCGGAGCGTACAGATTTAATGAGTCCCCCGAGGTCACTCGTCTACCCTGGCAGCCTCGGGGCATCAGACCCGCGCGCGTGGGGAGTCGCCTGGGCTGGACTGGAGGAAACCAAGCGCCCAGGTGTGAAGCGTTCCCGCCGCGGCCGCTCCAAATCTCAGCGCGGATTTAGTTAACCTCCAGCGCCTGGGTCCCACCGGAGGAAACCTTGTGAACGATTTGTCGGAGTGGTAAAGTCTAGTTGAAAGAGAGAAAGTACCATCTTTGGAGGCGGTCCCGTTCTGTGTGAGGGCTGACCTGAGGTAGGGTTTCAGCCCCTGAGGTGGTAGAAGAATGAGGCACCGCCCCACTTTTGCTTGGTGCCTTGGTTTGGGTTTTCATGCCCACTCCATGGAGAAGCGCAGATTATTTTTACAAGCTTTACCTCCCCTCCCCGAAGGGAACGTGGTGTGGGGCCCTGGTTGAAAAGTAACTGACATGATGATCTTTTTTTTCTGTCCATGGAAAAGGAACCACCGGATTAGGAAGCCAGTTGAGGTGGAGGGAGTGTTGCTTGGTGGATTGCATAGATGATAGATAGGGGCAATAGAGCTGTCAACAGAATAGATATAAACTTTCACTTTTTCATGTGACATGAATATGTGTAGAATAGTAGCTCACAATTGCGGGGCTCTTGGATCAGGTAGTGAGCACCACTTCAGGTTACCATCTCTAGCCATCTCTAAGAGAGCTGCAATTCTGATTTTTACAACGTAAGACAGAGCCACTGATGTTAGGTGTTGTCACAGGACGCCCTAGCTTTAGAAGTCTCTGTAGGTTTAAAAAAAAAAATCAAATCATTGGTCAGGGGCCCAGGATGCGGCATGTGGCTCCACTGGTAAAGCATAAGACTTGGCATGTGCCAGGTCCTTGATTTCCCCCCTCATCACTATGTCTCAAACACACGTGGGAATAGGGTAGAGTACTACATGGTATACCCCACAGCACACAAAATTCACTAATTGGGAAAAATTGTATGAGAAATGACTAACCACCAATGGCAGGCTTTAACCTATATTTTATTTCTCAAATACCAGATGAATCAAGAATTTAAATAACAACAACAAAAATATTACAAAATGTGGTTTAAAAGATCTTTTCTACTTGTGAAACAAACCATCAGGGGAAAAAATTGGCAAAATTTGGCCACATATTGTAGTCTTATGTATACATCGTTAAACAGTTTAAACAATTTCTGGCCACAATACAACAAAATTTGTCAGCACCACAACCAATGAAGATTCCACAAAATGACGGTTAGAAATAAAGAATTCAGCAGTTGCAGAATATAAAATCAAAATGAAAAAATGTTTTGGATTTCTATATGCTAATGACACTATCAGAGAAATTAAGAAACTTATCATTATGTCAAGAGGACTATAATACTCAGAAATAAATGTAATTAAAGAGATAATAACTTGAACCCTGAAAACTCAATGACCATGAAACTAAAGAAGGCATTAACAGATATTCTGTGCAAACAGATTAGAAGGATTAATATTGCTACTGTCTGAGATGGAGAAACAGTATAGTGGGTAGTGCATGCCTTGTATACAGCTGACCCAATTCCAACCCCCAGCACCTCCTATGGTCACCTAATTCCTATCAGGAGCAATTCTTAATCACAGCATCAGGAGTACCAAAGGGTGTGACCCCAAACAATAACAAAAATACACTACAAAAAACAATCAATAGACTCAATGCAATCCCTTCCAATTTTTCACAGAAATAGCCCAAGATAAGGGATTGAAAGTAAAGTGGGTAGGGCTCTTGCCTTGTACACTGCTGTCTGGGTTTGATCCCTGGAACCCCTGATGATCCCCCAAGGACCACCAGGAGTAATTTCTGAATACAGAGCTAGGAGTAAACCCTGATCAATTGCTGGGTGTGGTCCAAAGACCAAAAAATAAAAAAAATTAAATAGACAGATAAAAAATTGTATAGAGCCATAAAAGCCAAGCAAATATTGAGTAAAAACCTGGAAACAAACTTGCTCTCTGATTTAAAATTTTATTCCACGATGGGATTCTTGGTGAAGGGAGGAGGGTACAGTGTTTATGAATTCAGTGTTGGAATTATGTGCACAGGAAACCGCCAATAACAGTATTATAAATCACAGAACCTCAATAACTCAATTTAAAATACTTTTAACTAAAATAAAATTTTATTACAAAACTAAAATCAAAATTATTACATGGCATAAATGTGTAAATATCAGTAGAAGAGCCTAGAAATAAACCCAAGAAAATATGGTCTATGAATTTACAAAGGATCCCAAAATACACAATAGGGAAAGGACAGTATCTCTTAATAATATGTGTAGGAAACTTTGTACAGTAATATACAAAAGAATGAAATGCAATCATGGTAGTGTACAAAAAAATTAACTCAAAATGGATCAAAACCTTGAAACTAAGACCTGAACAAAAAAGAAAATCCTGGGGGGAAACAGGCTTTTGAATTTGATACCAAATGCAAAGTAAAGTAAAAGATCAACAAGAATAGCCAGTAGATTGGTACAACTCAAATGTTCAACAACTGACAAATGTACAAAGTAGTTGTGGTTCATTTGCACAATGAAAAACTATGCAGCTGTAAGAAAAAGTGGGATCATGAAGTTTGCTACAACCTGGAGAGCATCATGCTGAACAATATTAGCCAAAGGGAGAAAGACAAGCACCAAATGATCTCACTCATCTGTTGTGTATAGAGAAATAAACTATGGGAATAGGTAATATTACTTGCTAACAAACTCTGAGTGCTGGAATAAAAGTTCAGAAAACCAAATTGATGATGAATAGCTGCAGGGGATGTGACACAGGGGCATGGCTGAGGGATCTTAGGCACATTGGAGGTGGTGAGGTGTGGTGTACACCAAGACCATAAATGTCAATATTATTGTAAACACATTTAACTATAATTAAAAAACAATAAGCAAGACTACATAAGATTCCAAACTGTGGGTTAAACATTCTTAAGAAAATACTAGGAAAGAAAAAAATTGTAGATAGCAAAACACAGACATTTTGAAGTTTGTTAATATGGCATGCCAGCCTTTCAGCAACCACATCACACCCACTTTTTCCTATGATGAATAAAACGGAGGAGAGTGATAGCACAGCAGGTAGGGTGTTTGCCTTGCATGTGGCCAACCCGGGTTCGATTCCTCTGTCCCTCTCAGAGAGCCCGGCAAGCTATTAAGCATATCCCACGGCAGAGTCTGGCAAGCTCCCCAAGTTGTATTTGATATTCCAAAAAACAGAAAAAAACAAGTCTCACAATGGAGACGTTAATGGTGCCTGCTTGAGCAAATCGATGAAGAATAAGATGACAGCGCTACAATGCATTATATATATAGTGGTGTAACACAGGTGTTCAAAGTTTTCAAGTCTATTAAAAAGAAAATCAGTGATGAGCAGAAGTGGAGGATTGGTACATCTGGCTTTAAGGCAAAGTAATCAAAAGACTTAGTATTGACAAAAAAAAAAAAAAGATTGGCCAAGCATCACTAGGAGGGGCCTGTGGATACCTGTTTGGGAGATATGCAAAATAGACAAATGAAACAAATAGAGAAGTCAGAAAGAGACTTCACTCATAGATACACTAAGGAGAAAAAATTACACTTCAAACGCTGCTATAACAAATAGACATCCACCTGCAAAAAAAAAAAATCTAGATACAGACCTTAAAACAAATTTATCCAACATACTCTGAATTTGGCCTTTTGCCTCCTTAGATCACAAGCTGAGGTGTCTTGCAAAGTACCTCTTGCCCACATTTTTCTCTTCAGGAAAGAGTTTTGATAGACCAAAAGGCAGAAGATACAACTCCAGAATGGAAATGCAGCTTGGTTTTGCACATGCTGTTTCCTCTGCTTTGTCTCTCTTGTCTCTTGCTTCTCATCTCCACTATCTCCCACCAACCAAACCACTATATAAGTGGCTGGTTTTGGCTTCAGATTTCATTTAGAAATGCTTCATTCCAAAAAACATTATGAACATTATAATTCCTCCAAACTAGGTATGGGTTCATTTGTATTATGGTAGTTCACACTGAATCAGAATGACTCATTTATTAGTCTTTATAGTTTGTGAGCTCCTTGAGAATAGAAAAAGTCAGTAATAGTAACATATTGGCACTCTAGTGGAGGGTATAATACAGTACATTGTATGCCTAAAACATTAGTGCAATTTTAAATCATGATACTTAAATGCATAACCATTGATTCATTCGAATGTCTAACAACCCAAAACAGACTATTACACTTGAATAGATGTGGGTCACTGCCGGCGGTTTTGATCTTCGTTGTCTATGCACCAACATCCAATTATGATGAAGGAGAAATTGAGAAGTTGTACATGAAGCTGGAAAAGTTCTATAAAGACCACACCTTCTACAAAATCATTGTCGATAATTTTAATGCCAAGATAGGACCAAGAAGAACAGCCGAAGAACTCCACATCAGGATCCATGGCCTAGAATTGTACGAACTGGGTGAGAGACTGTCTCAATTCATCATGTCGACCAAGACTATCCATG